AGATGGGCTTACAAGAGCTGCGGGCCTAAGGCCTTCTTTGCACCCTTATGTTCAAAGCAAGGCTCTGCTCTGCTAAAATGCAGATCTCCAGCAGCACATCCAAGTTCGGCCGAGCCTTGGGGCTCAGAGTGAGCCTCTCTAATGAATCATATTAACAGGGTTTAGGGTTCTAACAGGGTTTCTCCCAAAAGCAAGGGAAATCATATTAATTGGGGTTTCCCCAAAATTGAAGTTAAATCATATTAATGTGGGTCTTCCCCCAAGATTAGGAGTGCCTTCTGGTTTTAAAGTATATTACGGCACCTGACTCTTAGGGGTACCAAATAGGACTGCGATCAATCCCCTATTATGTTCAAGACCAACGCGCCTCAATGAAGCAGCCTGAGTAGAGAAGCGACAGGAAGTTCTGCACCACGGCACCGGAGCTTTGTATCTCCACCTTTCAGCTTCGCTGCCAGAACTCAAATCAACTTAAAGGCCACAGCGTGACATGATTGGGCAAACTCTCGGGCGTTCTTCAGAACTTGGAGCTCAAGCTACAAGTCTAAGAGCCTTTGCTTCAAACTTGCTGCCATGATGCAGGAATACCAGCCACAATTTCTCAAGTTTGCAATGTAGTAATACTGGCACTAGGAAAGATAGTAACAACAACCAGCTCATGAGGTACTTGGAATTGGAGTGATCCATTGGAAGGATCAAAAACATTAAAAATAACTATGTCATACTTCCACCTGTACATGTAAAACGTCGCAAGAACTCTACATGCTGCTGGGCCCCTGCCAACCTCCTTGTCCGCGTTCAATCGCATTGCCGGGCATGCCTGCTCAGAATCAAATTGCCCGACCGACCAACTGGAGTCAACTAGCATCAAACGAATAATTAGATGAAACCGATGCATGGTCCCGGATAGCATCTTGAGCATTGTTTTCTCACGTCCTAGAGAACATTCAGGAGAGAAAGCTTTTGATGCCCCACAGCCCTAGATATTGGCTGCCCAGGATAGTTCAAGGGATAGATGGTTGCTGTAACAAGGAAGTGGCTTGTGCAAACTCTGCACCTGACACTTAACAGAAGGCCAGCTTGAGGCTACTTGTAGCTGTCACAAAAAAAAGGATGTACTTGGAAAAGCGCTGTGCGCCCCGGAAACGCAAATCTCCTCGTAGCAGCTGTGCCCTTTCCATTTCCTACACACCTGCAGTGAGGTAGCAGGTGTGGTAGCCTGTGGTGCGTACCATCGCACTAACCATAACGCGAGTCTGACCAAGACCTAAGCATTGGAAAAAATAGTTGTCACGCACGACAGCAATGTAAGAACGGCCGACATGGTAAAGATCTCAAGATGCAAAGCCTTCGTCATCCTTCTAACGCCGGCGAAACATGCACGTGCAGCATTTGATTTCCGATTCAGAGGAGGCCAAGCTCCTTGTAACCATGTGCAATAATCGTAAACAGGGAAACGTGTCAATAGATCTGTATCGGACTGACTCAAGCCCTTACAGGGGCATCCTGCTTCAAGAGCCAGGAGTGCGCTGTCAGGACCAACGGCTGGGGGGTCGATGGGTCCTCATGCAAAGCAACTCCAGCTGACTCCACGAGACAGAAGCCATGCGTCAGGCCGAAGTGAAAACGGTAGTGAATATGAAAAGGCAGCCGGCAATGCTCGGTTGTTACACCGTTAGACCCGACCCTCTCCTTGGATGGATCAGACCTCTACCCAAAAGATTGCTCATCTTCAGGAGTCTTCTGAAGGAAAAGAGGGAATACGTTGCTCCATCATCAGGACATCTTGGGCGAGAGGTTTTGCAATCAGAAGTGTCTAGTCAGAACTGCAATTGAAAAGCCAAGCGAATGCATGGCGAGCAGGCTGAAGTCCTTGACAACAAGCTTTGCGTCTGCAAGCGGCTGGTTCTTGTAGATGACTTCCCACAAGCCTGGGCTTTAGGTCGCTGTCTGTCACTGGATGGTTTGGTGAAGAACTGTCCTTTGCCCAGGCTGTCCTGTGAATTGAGCCAGGCATACCCGAGTGCTGTTGCAAACTGGCAATTTCAAACACAAGATGAGCAAGCTCAATATTCTGGTTGCGGACCCATAACGTTGAGGATGCCTGAGGAAAAACAGAAGAGAAAGTCATGCTGGATACCGAAGCTGCTCTATTTTTTCTATAGTTGGCAAGGCTTGCAAGGAACATGGGTGGGCTTGTCTTGGACCGTGCTTTTGGTGGTGGCAAGAATCATGCACCAACCTGAGTCCCATGATCCCTAGAAATCTTAGAAGTTTCGCGAGTTTTGCGGTGCAAAATTTCCTCCAGCAGCAATCAGAATCGGATCTTTGCCATCTTGGGTGACCCACTGGCCAGCTCATCCAGACTATCACCTACTTGCGTCTACCTACTGAGGTACTCTTAGACATCATGCGTTAAACAGGATGAAGCACAAGCAGCATAAGACTTCATTGATTGGGCATCTGATTAGGCGCTGCCGTTGACGACCTTCGCGGCGCCGAGTTGGCAAGCCATCAAAATTGAGGACTTGACTGAAGCATCACCAGCCGGTCTGATAGCACACACAGTTTTGGACCTCAACATGGCACCAACAACTCCTGGCTTTCGCGACGTGCAATTTCGGGGTTCTTTGAGAAACCATCCTCGCTTCGCAAACTTGACAATCTTGTCTTCGGAAACATCTTTCCACGTACCAAAAGATCCCTCTTCAGACCTCCATGTTCTCTCCAGCTTGTTTGCCATGTTTGTAAGCAGGGAACTTTGGACGCTGTCGAGGATGCGGACCTTGCCCTTCCCCATACAGTTGTCCTGCTCGTAGATGCGGACAGGTTTGGGTGTTCTGTGGAATCGCAACTGGCAAATGACCTCATGAAATCATGATGGATTCAGTTCAATTCGAGAATGAACAACCGAATTGCCCCACTCAAGCATACGGGACATGGACCCTGCGTTGCCGTACCCAAGTCCGCCCCGATTCCCACCAAGGGCCTGCTTCATCTCTCTTCGCCCACACACTATATAAGAATAGGGATAATTGGAAAGACAATATGGAAAGTACTACATTATAGTAGGGCATATATTGGAGGTGTATATAGATATATATGTATAAACTCCAAATCGCTTGCACGCTCCCTCTTACCGCCACTTCACTTCAATCACTCTTAGGGGCTGCACTTGGAATTCCTCTCATTGGCACAGCGACCCTCAAACCCTCAACAGTTTCCCTGGATTTCCCAGGACTTCTCCTCTAGCCCTGCAGGTACCTTGTGGGTCAGCAAGTCTAAGACCTGACCAGAGTCTCATCGTTGTTTACTCGATTTGCTTTTTGTTTTTATGTCTTCCAAGGCTTTTCGTTTTATGGTCTCGGGATGTTCTGGGGCCGACTGAGAAAGAGAAAAGGAAGCACAGCTTCTTTTATGAGCAGTTTGTTCCGTGGCGAAGCGGAGCAAGATCCAATTCGGTCTCTTATACAAATCTACTCCATAATTATTGCCCATAACTTAAAATTCGCATGTGCTATGATGCGACGAATCAATCCCCTCAAGCTTCAGGAAATCGCCCGTGGAATACCTCGCCTCCTTGAGTCGGACGCGGGCGGTCTGCACAGCATCCACACAAGGGCAAACACGCGCACGGCAAGGTTCACGGCAAATGCTCTGAACTGAGCATGTCACGTCGCAACGTGTCAGGGCTGCACAGCATGCCACATCAACCAAAGATTTGAGTCAGCATGCCAATGCTCGCGGGTGAGAGGCAGCTTGCCTGCATATCATCCACAACCCAATGAGGTGTCCAGGGTGTGCGCCTGAGTGGGGCACCGTGCGCTGAACCCAACCGACAACTCACACTCTCGCATCAGGTAAGGCACTCGACCAAACGAACGACGTTGTTAACCCCCCGCAGCACTCCCTTCCAAGGTACCAGGGACTGCTGAAAGGGTCGTCATCATCGTCCAGCTGATGGTAGAGACTGCCTAGGGCTTCCAGTAATGGAATTCCCTCCTGGCACACTGCTTTGTATTCTTGTTACAGACATCTGGTTTCAAGTGGAATTTAAGTCTGCAGCGGGCAAGGCCACTGTTTCTCTTGCTTCTGATACTGCGTCTCTTGTTACGACTACTGATCCGAAGTTGCTCGAATCCCTGCATCTCCTAGTCAGAACTATTGCAGCCGTCAGCCGGGCCTTCCCTTTCACTTCTCCTACAACTCCTCCCTCCAGTGATGCTACCAACCTGATGGCGACTTTCGGTATCTTGTTGTACAGCTGCCACTACACATGTGCGCTTGTTGTTGCAGGGAACTGCACAAACAAAACCCAAGTCCAGCCACTTGTGAGCGAGATGGGCGAGTTCCCAGCTAGGGGTGCAGATGCCCCGCCAATGCACACTCTCCACCTGGTTGGTTGTCAATTCCCCAAGACAGAACTGAGAGCTGCATGAAATGTTGCCGTGCTCCGTCAAAGACATCTTCCTTGGCCCTGTCAATGACCAAATGTTCAAGAAGGTGTAATCAGTGAGGCTGCATAGTTGAAATGGGCCAAGACAGCGGCTTCATTGAGATGGGATGGAATTCTTATGTGGGGACCCTTTGGGAGAAGGCATTGCCGAACAAGCAAGAAGTTTTGCTGGCATTTCCAGCCCACAGCATAACTGGTGTCCAGGAACCTGCATGACTCCGGCGCATGCTGTTCTGGATTTGCGCCAGCCATCAAGCAGAAAGCTGCCAGGTGCTTCTTTGCGCGGAATGTCCTGAAAATCATCACCCAATTTCCACAAATAATTTTAAAGCAAGGCTCGATTCTGCCTCTGCCTTTGGGGAATCTAGGCGTTAAAGCCTAGACTCTGATCCGAGGTCTGAGACGGCCTCCACATTTTCCCAGCCAGGATGGCGAGGAGGGGTGTTCCCCAAACCTGCACGGAAATCATGGGGTATTCAAAGGACCGCAGAATACGACCTGGTTGTGACCTTCATCTCTAACCTGGTCGAGATCAGAACTCATCTAAAGCCCTTCCTCGAGCCTCATCCACCAAGTTGAAATCAAAGTTGTGGCCACCACTCTGGACCTGATGTCAGCACATAAAAAAAGGTCAGCTATTTCCTATTTCCAGTCACAAAGCCCTGCCAAGTCGAAGCTCTTCTTGAATCCAGCCCTCACCCCATCCCCACATGCTTCTGCCATGCCGTGCTCCCAAAGGCTTGATAGAAAGAATCTCGGCTTTAAAGAATCTCGCCCCAAAAACATTTCCTCAGCTCTGCACGAAGTCGGTCACCTCATAGGACTCGCCTTCATAAAGCCACTCCAACATGGTCTGCCTGATTCATGCGAAAATAGCTTCAGGGCCGCTCCACACTGTCGTTCCGCACGTGTTCTTGTGCTTTAGCGGAAGATAACCATCCCAATGGAAAACCAAAACTTGATGTGGCATGTCTCCAGAAACCTTCATCTGTTAGGCAGAAAACTTGACAATACGCTCTTGGATTGGAACATTAGCAGCTGATTCTTCCGCGCAAGCGAAGCGAAATTCCCCCTCATCTGGGCAATGTCGAAAACCTAAACCCTAAACCCTAAACCGTGTTGGGATTGAAACCAGACTTAGGGATATATCCGTGATGGCAGCCTTGGGGCGCAGACCTGTAAAGTACAGTATACTGGGCTATCTTGGGAGAATGTCGGGATAATGGAAAAATAAGATGGAAACTACTCTACTTTTAGGGTTTAGAACTAAGGGGTGGGGTACCATCGGATTGCGCGGGGTCATTTACGGATAATGGAAAAAGAAAATGAAAACGACTTTCCAAATTAGGGTATATGTTATTGTTGCCGAGAAACCTCTCGGTCGCATTCATTCTCGGAGCGGGCATATCCCCCCAGTGGGTAGCCATGCCCTAATCCCTGCCCTGCAGCAAAGCTGTTGTGCTTCCTGAGTTGTTTGAGCTCTGCCAGCACATTAATATGCCTTGCTCAAAGTTTAGTTGCTGCATCCTTGTAAAGGAAGTTGACGCGAAGGAGACTGCGGCTCCTATCACTTGTTTTTTGATGATGTGTCGGAAACAACTGTTTTTTGAGGATTTAGATTCAGAGGTGTCCAGAAAGATAAGGCATGCAACTTCATGGCAGCCCTGTAACATGCTTCGGTCTTGAGCCACATCGCAGAGGGACATCACTGCAAAAGGCAGACTTGGTGCGGTGGGGTTGGCACTGCGGCATGGAAACCAAGTGCCCAAGCAGCGTGGTCTCCCAGCGTGCCACGAACCTAAGGCCCTAATGTGCACACGGGTGGGATGATGGATTTAGCCCTTCCTTAAACTCCCTCACAGGCTGGCTGTACGGAAAGCTCCAACTATTCTACCTTCAGAGCTTGTTTCTTGCACATGGGAAAGATCTGCTTCAGGGCCCTTATTGCAATGCACGCATACTTTAGCATGTCAGTTGCTGCGAATACTGTTGCATGATAGGAGGATGTGGGCAGGTGCCCTACGGCAGGCTTTTCGGCTGGGCAGGCAAGCAAACATCCTTGCAGCAGGACGGCTTAGCGATACTTGCCGCCATACCTGAGCCGAGTCGTTCCAACAACACTATGAAAACTTAACCAAGCCAGAAGAAGCAACAAAAAGGCAAGCCATGCAAGCCCTTAAGACCCTAACTTGCACCTTCACCTTGCATGCTGCCAAATCTGAATCTGAAGCCCTCGCATGTCGCCCAAAGGCAGCAAGAGCATGATGACCTTGTTGTAGCAGCTCAGGCTGCAAGTTGGCCAGGGCTGTAATGTAAATGCCCAGCGGCTCGCTCTTGCCCTTCTTGGAATCCGTGCCAAGCTCGAAGTGCTTCCTTGTTGCCACTGTTAAAACATGTAAAAACTCACGTTACTCCATGAAAGAAACCACAAAGATGCTCTTGTCCATCTTCCAGTTAGGCTGTCGGGTTTCTATGAACATGGCCTTTACGACTTCATTCCGAGATCTCAACATCCGAACCCCAAACTGCAAATGCTACTCAACCTCTCCACCCTAAGAAAAACACAATCCCAAAAGTCCAATAGCCGAGGCTACACGCACCCTAGGCCAGGCTACGTTCGTTTGATGGGCTTCATCCGCTTTGCCTGCAAGGCCGGGCTACACATTCTCTTCACTTCCGCAGGGACATTGACAATCAAGAGTCAAGGACCTTGAGAAACTGTAAGCTTCCCAAATGAGCCCCTGGCATTTATGGGACAACATGGATATAATTTGGTAGCAATACGGAACCGCATCATGCTACGCAGCCCCAAAACCTTCCCGCCTTGCACTTGGTGCATTCAAACTTGAGGACGATCCTGGGCGCTTAAGGCTCTGAAAGGCCTAGCGCTATAGTGTCAGCACGAAAGCTCAAGAAAGCGTGAACCACTGTCAACATGCCAATCAGATGCATGAGGGAGCCCATGCTTCACAGATTCAAGTTCAGTCTAGGTATGACTCCACAGGCTGCTGTGGATGCATGTCTAATAATTTGGCAACATTTAACATGTTCCTTTCCCGCCCTGCTTTGATCAACGCTTACAATAGCCATTTGCTAAAAGAGCATTACCAGCTAAATGGTCGGACTCTGAATTCTGACACAAGTAGTCTCATGACCCTGGCCCAAGTTTTGAAGAGTCTTCCACAAGATGGACAGCACGCAATCAATTTGACTTGTCAAATCTAAGTTATCTGACCACTCAAAAAAACAATGACTACAAGTTTATAGTAAACGGCGACTCTTGATCTGATTATTTGAGATCCTGCCCAAGACAACATTCAAAAGCCTTTGAAAAGAGCACAATAACAAACAATCTCGCAGAGGTGCTTCTTCGTAGTCTTGGCCTCATGCCAACAGCAAAATGTGGAGAGAAGCGCTCTCGCGTCATGTCATGCGGGATTAGGGTGAGGAATGTTGCAGGAGTGCTTCCATGCATGCAAACACTGTCTGTGCGCACTGGCCAAGCCTCTTGAACTCAAGCCCAGGCCTTCTTGTGGAACACAGGCTTGGTCTGCCCACCAAAGCCAGCTTGTTTCTTGTCCTCAGTTGGGTGCTGTATGATGGCCACGGGGTTAGACATCATGCCTGAAGAGACGGTTTGTGGTCATGTCAGGCTCTGAAAGGCTATGTTGGCCAAAGCTGATTTGCTATGCGCTGTAAAGAAAGGTGGAATTTTATGTAAGGAGATGACAGCTCAAATGGTTAAGCTGCACTCGTCGACCTGCTGGTTGGTTTCCAAAGATAATGCAAAAAGAAGCGAAGTTGTGAAGCTGAAGCTGAGGAAAAAGGTGAAAGTTGGTTACTGTTTTGTGGATTGTACCGAAAACAGCTAAGCCTGTCAAGCTTTACCCTAACTAACCCCTCAACCCTAAACCCTAGGGGGTTAAGGGTTTTAGTTTTAGCCTTTGGGGTTGGGGGCTCAGGATTTGAAATTTTGGGTTCGAGGTTGAGGGTATTTGAGGTAGGAGTTTGCCATAATACACGACCTCCAGCAATGGAAAATAGAATGGCAACTACGAAGTTGTTTCTGTAGATGTGTAGGGCTTAGGGCCTTAAACATTAAACCCCAAACCCGAAACCCTGAACCCTAAACCGTGTGTTTAGGGTTTGCCTGCTGGCGGTCAGTAGGGGACTAAGGAATGAAATCTCTAGAGATTCCCTAGACCCTAAACCTTGGGTACTGCCCCCACGCAGTAACAGTTGGATAATAAGTATAATATGGTTATATATAGACCTTAATAGGACCCCTAATGTGGACTGTTACTGGGTGGGGGCAGTACCCAACCTAAACCCTAAACCCTTCCATTCTCTACGAGTCACCACATCAGGCAGTTCTAAAAGACAGGAGATCTATGTTGGGTTTAGGGATCAGGGTTCAGTGCTTAGGGTCAAGGGGTCAGGGTACTGCCCCCACTCAGGGTTTATAATGGGGATCATACTGAGGGTACCTTATCAGACCTCCCAATTATGTTGGCAAGTACTTAGGCCCCATATAGCATTACATCTTATGTAGTTGCCTGCCAAGCTTTGAACGTTCTGTTTTGAGTGGATACGGAGGTTTGCAGAATTAGTGGGTCTCATTTTGTCGGTCCCAATAATAAGGATTATAGTATAACCCTTAACCGCTTGGGGGCCGGGAAGCTCAGCAGCTGGGCGAGACGGAAACGCAAAGCTCGTTGCACAACCCTAAACCCTAAACCGGGATTCTAAAGCTGGGGGCCCCTACAACCGGATTAGAATAGTCTTATAGAGCTTGGGGTATACAAGGGGGACCCCCATTTCTGGGGATGGTTTAGGGTTGGTAAGCAAGCAGAGATTCGTATCGTCGCTTCCCCTGAGCGCTCAGGGATGCCTTTCCTGTTTTGTACTGCGAGACCTCACAGGGTTGAACAGGAGTTGCGGTTTAGGGCTTCCAAGGAAACAGGTTCTGGGGACTGTTGGAGGACCGGACAAACCCAAGGAGCTTTCACGTTTTGCGCCATCTCAGGCCACCAAGGTTTCAGGTTCAAGCAATTCATGTGAACAGAGATCACTTGCTCTCCTTCTACAATGCGTTTTTGCTCAGGTTGTAACATATTATCATTTACAGCGTTCCGGGCTCTCGTAGTGAGAAGCATTTGCCATCCATGTCATGACGGTTTTTATTGAAAGCCACTTAAATGACTCTTTCATCTGTGGAAGTCCTCCGTCGGCTGAACTTCTTGGGTGAAATCTTGGGGCTGTGTGCATCTCACAGTAGTAGCCCGGCTCTCGGCTCTTCAAAACAAACCCGACAAGGGCTGTAAACTCAGTTCTGCAACAAGCAGAATTTTCGCCACGAGGCCTTGTGCGGCGTATGCTTCTTGCACTTGCGGCAGTACCTGGAAGCACATGCCCGAGAAACAACTTACCCTCGCTTCGTGACCTTGCCCTCAGGCTTGAAGCGCAGCAAAACCAAAGGGTGGACTTGACGAGTATCCCTGGAAACACTTTGAACTGTTCCAACACTTCCTACTACAGAGCTATGGCGAGCAAAAGCATTCACATCCTCAAATTCCAAAGTTAGTCCTCTGGCCGCCCGACCGCTTCACTTGGACCAAGGGGCGTGTTCCGCGTTTTCGGGATGTTCCTAAGCAGGGATTCTCAGGGTTGGACATGCAAAAATTGAGTGGTCTGTTGCAGCTAGATATCTGCCCCAAGATGGTCCAATCCAAATGTGCCAGATTTTCGGGAATCTGTGCCATAAAGCGCCAAGCGCTGCTTGGAGCTCCAACTCATCCGCTTGGGGCTACACACTGCTTTGTCTCCCTCATGAAGGCTGTATAATTACTTCGTTTGGTGCAGCTCTGCAATCACATTGAATCATCAAATGCTTTCTTTGCAGTGCTCCTTTTTGACCGACATTGCAGGAAACCCTGGCACAAGGCCACCACAAAGTGAAGCCAGCCTCCCTTAAGACACTGCGCAGTATTGACTGCAAAGGCCCTGGCTGTATCGGTGACGTAAGCATCAAGCTGGATAGGAATGGACTCCAAACTTGGTTCCTCCTCCTCACCATCATCATCATCATCAACATCACCCCTACATCGCCAATAAAAGCAAATCACAGTAATAGCAGCGCGAAAAACAGTGCGTACTGAGACGAGCTGCACCATAGTTGGGCCCCTAGCAGCCCAGCACCTGCCCTACACCCACGGAGCCACTTCAGCTGCGCCGGCCGGCAAAAGTACTAAGAATAGATAGTGGTTTCCATCTTACTTTCTATAATCCCAAAAGATATACATATATACCCATTATAATTTAGTAGTTTCCATTTTCTCTTCCATTATCAAGAGGTCCTCAGGAAGTTCGGGTTGGTGACAGCGTGCACGGATTAGGGCTCCCAACTGGGCTCACCCGTGCAGGACCCTTATCTGATGATGATAGAAGCAGCTGCTCTTAATGCCTGAGATCTAGGGTTTGGCGCACGTCTTCTTCAACAAGTCATATGGGCAGTTCCCGAAAGTATCAGCCTCCCTGCAACTAAAGATTAAATGTCATGTTCCGCAGAAGTTATCCTGGTATTCTTCCAACGCTCTAGATTCTCCCTCTGAGCGGCTTTCCTATGCATGCTGAGCATAAGAACTCACACCTTGGCCTCTGAACAAATAGCCCAAACAAGCTCCGCACTATCGCGCCTCCGACGGAATTGAAATGCAGGGATCTGTGGCATCTGCAGGCCTTGTAGCTGATTGCTGCAAGGCTTCTGTCCACTTTGAACCTTTGGGTTTGGGTCTGGAGGGCATGTGCGCGCACGACCGGGGGCGGCATCATGTTACACACTATATAATTTGGAATCTCAGCTGAATTGGAAGGAGCAGGAGTGAATCTGCACAAGTTTGTACATCTGCTCAGGCAACAAAACATCACAGCATTATAGAAGGACAATGCGGGGGCTATTGCGGCCGTGGCCAACGCCAGGAGTATCCTCCGTAGATGCTTGAAAGCCCACATCTCGGCAGCCCGCGAACACAAGCCAACCTGTGGAGCTGAGATTTGGCACAAGCATAGCTTTAGAGACAAAATTCACGTCTCTACCTGGAGCTGTCACCCCCTCACCCACATTCTGGGGGCGCTGCAGCTCCCGGGCCCCCAGCAAGCCAGTTGGGAGGAGGCCTGGCGCAACATCCCGGTTTCAGCAGCAGGCAACGAAGCATCATGATAGCTCGTGGCGTAAAGAAGGCACAAAGCAAAGGTGCACCAACTGTCCCTGTGCCGGCTCATCCTTGCAGCATTCTATTGCGCCTCTGACCAGCTCCTGCAGAGAGGCCTCCACCCTGCGACCAAGCATGCTTTCACACAGAATGTCTGAGAACTCTGCATAGAGCAACTTTTCTCGCGGCAGCTTCTGCAAGCGTAGAAGTCTCAACGGAGAAAATACAGTGCAGCGGCCGCGGCTGCAGTGAGCGCCACTGGAGCCGCCAGCCCCGAGAGCCTGGGGTGAGTTATGAGGCCGGGAAGAATCCGAATTCCTTTTTGAGTGTACAGGAAACGGCACAAAGCTGCGTACCTGCCTGAAGGCCCATGCAGGGATCAAAGTATTTGAGCATTTCCCCGTTTCCGTCTCGTAGCATCCTTGCTTTACGGAGGCCAGGTTTTTGCCCACATGCCTGCATGTAGGGAGCCAAATGCCATGTTCTGGGCGCAGGGCAACCTCTCAAGTCCTGCTGCTTGTCTCCGGCTCTCTTAGCTCTACAGACCGAGCATGCAAATCTGCAAGCTGGAAAGGCGACCTCTCCCATCAATACTGGTACGAATTAACATCAAATTCAAAAAAAAAACAAAACGATCACAATAGGAAGTAAAAACCAATGATTACCACAGGTGGCAAAGGTGATTAGTTGTCAGCTCCACCCAGCCCTCCCGGAAGCCGAGCAACTGCGTCGGCCGATCCGATGCTGCTGGGTGGCTCATGGGGTCTGCCTCGAAGCCTCACAGCTCGGGGCTCGGCTGATGACAATATTATCGTTATCAATCTTCATCTTATTATTCTTCCTATTACTATTTCCATGAATACTATTATTGCTCTTACTATTACTATTACTATTACTAGCGGAGTTGGGTGGAATGAATTTTCCCCCAAAAAAATACGATATGGGTAACTCCCGTACGTTCTGTATCAGCAGCTGGAAGGACAGCTGGACCTCGCTGGTGGACAGTTGCCAGTCTAATATGGAAAACAAGAGGTGTTTACACTAATTCAGGTCTAACGAAGGCCAACAGAATCTGGTATGGGCGTCCTACACCCGCTATGACTTCAGTTGTTGTCCCTTCAACGCGCCACACTTAGGGAGCCTTGAAGAGACCCCAAATTTGACCGAATACTCGTGTTCTGGCCTCGCAGCTGTTCGACATCTGGATCTCCAGCGCCGCGGCTGGCCTTACGGGAGATGGCACGTAGCCAAGGCTCTTCGATCGAGGAAGATTCCAAAGATCACAACAGGATAACACCCAGTCTCAGGTGTCTTGTTTATGATGGATCTTCTTGCCCTTTCTGTGCTCTACGCTTCAGCGCAGCCACAAATGCTCCTCTGAGTTTGAGTGCAGTCTGGCTCTATAAGGCAGCGCTGTGCTTTATTTGAAGGCAACCGAGTGGTTTAGGGTGCAGTGCACGGCTCTCGTTAAAGGCCCTTAAATGGAACAGGTTCTCGAGAACGTGCATAGAGCACGTGCTAGGACTGTCTTGCGCTGTGAGGAAAGCGACGATCCATACAATGTCCACCCCGCACCTCCAAGGATTCACGTGCCCGTCGTATCCAGGGTGCAGCCTGCTGCGAATCCGACTTCTTCACAGTACACTGCATAGCCAACCCTCAAAGGGTTCATAGGCTTCCAGGCTACGAATTGAGGAGTGTTACATGCCAAAGCCTAGGCAGAGCACCTGAGGCCAGTCCAAGGCGCTGTGTGGAGTGGCGTCAAGAAAGGCTGCAGCATAGCATGCTTTTTGAATGCTTTGAATTGTCCATGCCCGCGTGCAATGCCATGGAGAAAGCCCACCACAGAATCTCAGGCCTTGTGCTTGTGCCACACAAGAAATGCAAAGCACTTGAACACAAGAGACCGCAAGTGTCGAATTTCTCCCGTCACCAATGCATCCTACACCTTAGAACCACCGAAGGCCAGTTCACCCACGGTCAGTTGTAGGGGGAAAATTAGCCGGGCTTAGCCTGCGCCAAGCCCACGACATGATCATGACATTAAAAGTCACCCTTACCCCCTGGAATTTGCCGCATGCACTGTTGCCTCATCCTGCCCGCGGCCAGCGAGGAGCAAGCATTGAAACGCATGGTAGCAGGCCTCACCCACGATAGGATGGCATGCATGATTTCATGATCCATTCCCTGCCTACATTGAATGACTCTGCTCTGGATCGCAGATGTGCCCTCAACCCAACACCCCATAGGCATCTACCGCCGAGCTTCTGGCCTGAGCACGGAAGCCCTGCCTCAGCAGGAACACAATGAGCGCTTGTTTGGACAATTTTCGCAGACTGCTCGAACGTGATGGGTCCTTTCGAATGCAACGCCCAGGCACTTAGATGTCCTTCTGCAGGTTAGAAAAGATGGGAGGTCTGCTCAGGCATCCATGCTACGAAGAGATTGTCTGGACTGAAGCGACACCATTTACTTGGCGTGTTCCTTGATCATGTATGCTGAGCTCTGAAGAAACCTCAAGACATAAACGTCTTGAAGAGGCAAGCTAAAAGACAAGCCTGCATGGGCCTAGTTACTAGTTGCTTTCGATGGATGCCGAGGACTCAAAAAGCACTGGCCCTATCACAGCCAGGCAGCGCGGAGACCTCTTGTATCTGAGAGGACTTTGCATGCCAAGCTGCAGAGCCAGTCCTTCGTCATCGCAAAGCTGCAAGAGCTCCTCCAACAAAGTTCAAGATTGGTTCTAGCCTCGACTCAATCCGCAATCCGGAGATGACTCCATGTTTGCTTTTGCTTCGCGTCATGCAAAGTGGTTTGTCATGAATCCCTGCTGGATGGGCTTAGCATAGCTTGTGGGCTCCGCAGGCGCTTTGCGCCAGAATGCTGAACAGCCCTTTGGCTTCTCTGAGACTTCTGCTTTCTCCAAGTCTTATGATATGCTAAGTGCCTGTCACACAACTGCCATTGGACAGCTGGGCGCTTGCACCACCATCCCTTCCCGTCTGTGCGGGAGCAGCATCCAGGTTTTGCTACTGGCAGCAACTGCTCCTTCCGGCGCTGCTTTGGCCCTAAGGGCTTCTGGTAGTGCCTGTTGCACCGATGCCCAGCCGGCCCATGTTCATCATCCTCTCGAAGCCGCCTGCGAGGTTGACGCTTGCACCCTGGGACGTTGCATACGAAGCCACCATGAAGGAAACATCGCCTGCCCCTGGGACCGTGTTGATCGCTGGTGGCCACCTCTGCAGGTTAGGAAGCATAAGCCTCATCTAACGTTGTGCATAGTTAAAGGTTAAAGCCCCTAAACAATAATGCACAACCATATTGCTTTCAGAGGCTTGGCGCAGTGCCCCAGCTTCTCTGCAAGCATCCAGTCACGTTGCAGCCACCTCCATGAGTGAAACACCGGTGCCCTGCCGGGCCGAGGGCATCTGCTGCAGTCACCCTGCCAAGCGGCCAAGTTCTGCAGCCAGGAACGCTGCATACCTGATGCAAGGACAGGAGACCTAGGTAATGATCCACATAAGAAGGCCGGCTGCCCACACACAAAACAAACCAGGAAGCATGCTAAGGTTGCGGATGGAGAAGCCCTGGGCCATACTGGCAAGTGCTGTGGGCATCGCCGGCCCGCGGGCGCGAGGTGGTCAGTGGGTGACCTCAATTTGGCCAGACGGTTGCAGCCCTTCACGTTGCAGCACCGGGCTCCATGCAAATTGCAGCGGTACCCGGCAGGGCCCAAGTGGTCATCCTCATCGACGGCACCGTCAGTTTGCCTCTTGCATCCAGACACCGTGCACGGCAGCCGTCCCCCGTGATGGGCACAGCGATATCCGGCGGGCCCATGCACGTCATCTCGGAAAAGCATGCGTTCGGCTCTGCGCTTGCAGTCCTTTATTTCGCAAGTCCCGTGTAGCGGACGTCTTTGGCTCACTGGTCTCTGAGAAAAGCAAGCCTCCACAAAATCTGCAAATCGCTGCCACTCATTACCTGTGCCTTGCTCCGCCAAGTGTCTGCAGAGCGGCTGGGCAGCTCCGAGACGCTGCTGCGTGCCCCGGTCCTTCAAGTCTAGTGCTCCCCAGCAGCCGTTTGCCAGCTGTAGCAGATCAGCCCAACAGTCTCTAAGCCAGTCCGCATGCCTTTCAGGGTCCCGATCACGCTGGCACGGCCTGACCTCTGACAGTGCCAGTAGGCCAGCCAGGCAGCAGAGCAAGACTTCACAAAGACGCCCTCCCTCCTCTTCCTCAGCACCTTGATTAAAGACCTCTTGCAGCTGCACCTGTTGTGCCCGAACGTCTGCTTGATTCCGACTCTTCAAGAGTTCGCGCCACTCCAGCACGGAAGACTTGACTGTTGGACATCCAAGCAATCGGCTCCCTGAAAGAGATGGGTCAGGGCCTGGTCTCTGCATTGCGGGGTCCATGCCCACATTCACATCCCAAAATGAAGAGGCTGCAGATGACGCCAGCTGTACATACCGCGCACGCCGGAAGCCCTCTGCCTCGTGCACGCCTGGGCGGTCGTCAGCCTGGAAGGCCACGAGTGGCCCTAGCAGATATGCCAAAGGTCCACCAAGCTGGCTGAAGACATCGGGATGCACATGGTGGTTTGCTGCTCGGAAGCAGTCTTTAGTATTCAAGCTCTGCAAGTGAATCTCGCAGGCAAGAACGCTCTGGACATGGCCCACCATCCAAAGAGCATTTACAGCCAAGAGATCGCCCCGAGGCTTCTGCATGGCCACGGCGGAAGGTTGGGGCCACAGCACCTTCCTGAGGCCTTACTCAGCTGCGGATGGCAGACCAATGCGACATTGAATCCCTGAACCTACTTCGAATGCCTCGATTTCCAAGATACCCTAAATGTATCTGCACAAGTGATACTTGTGGGGATTAACGATTAATGACTACAGATTTGCATCTGACGGCAGATACTAGTAGCAGGAAGACGCCTAGCTGGAGAATCCATAGCAGGGGCTCTTTTTGTATCTGTCACGCTGCTGCGGGGCCTGGTGGCCTAGGCCCGGTTTCAGGCATGATCGCACGTCAAGCCAGTGGGCTGTACATGTTTACGCGTCATGCACCTCAGGGCCCTCAGACGCGCGCTTATCCTCCGTTTCGGCATTGGACTCGTGGAAAATTATTCGGCGCGTCATCTTCAAATACTGTTGTGACGAAAACACGGCCAATTCATTGCAAAGGAATTTGAAGATGGCACGCAAAATAATGATTACATCCATGAACCCGCTGCAGAAGCGGAGGATGAGCTCCAGGCTTAGGGCACTTGAGCTGTTGTTCGAAGTCGTTAAAGTCGCATTACACTTGTTCTAGAGCCTCCTGGAACATCTGTGTGTTGACTCCTCTTGCAAAATTTCTCCATTGCAGAAGAAGTCGGCGTTGCCGCCGCTCAGCAACTCGATCAGCGGGAAGTCTAAGCCCCCGAAGAAGCTATCACACATGTTCAAACTTGCCTTGAGCGCTAGGAAAAGGGCTGCGGATGTTGACAGCGCCAACCCTTGCTCTGCTACTTCTGATAGCCGTCGCTGCAGATCCACAGCACCAGGCAGTGCCTCTGCTAGTGCCACACCCGCGTCTGCATCTGGGCTGACACCTGGAGGTCTACCCAAAGCTGGCATCCGAGTTCGCAGGAGCTGGTTGTGAAACAGTTGGGCCTAAGCGAGTGGGCTTTAGATGTTAGCATGCCCTAAGCCTTCCCAAAAGTATGCATGGCACCCCCTATGTCGCTGTGTCCTTACCTCAGTAACACATTATTGTTGCCACCCCATTATGTTATGTTATGTTTACTTTGCTCTTGGAGCAATTGGGTCACTGCTCTTGGAATTTCAACTATTACCGCTTGCCACCCGAAACAGGGAGAAATTAAGCTTAGGCAGATTCTCAGGGGTAATTGTTACTCCCGAGCTCCGTGCCACGGCCAAGCTCAGCCAGCGCCTAGCCGACTGAAGGGCTGCGCAAAATGATGGCGACTTCTGGGGGGATTCAGCTGTTTGTGTTTTACACGTTGGCGGCTGTTTTGTAAGGTTTGCGTTCCCGCTTTTCTGGGGCACGTGATGCTCCTTTCCAGAATCCCACAAGTCAGTTTAGGACTCCATCCCATTCGTGACCAGCCAAATAAGAAGTAAATGTTCCTGATTGAAAGTCCAGAAAGGGCTCTGCTTTGCTACCACTACCCCGTTGGGAGAAGCCAGGCACAGGAAGCAAGGTACCTGACCTACCGTATGACCATGTGCATCCTTTGCTCGCAAGGATTCGGGCATGTCCCGCTCAGATAGAGGTTGCGGCTGTGATTTGGATGCCAGGTCGGGCGGATGAAGATTAGAACAAACAAGTGCGTCTGCACCTCATGGCCAGAGGGACATCACAGCTCACCCTGAAACTTACCCAAGCTGCTCAATTCTCTCCCCCCCCCCCACATCTCAATCACACTTTCTGGACGGAGCATGACGGAGCCACCGAGGTGAATAGCTCATTTGGGGTCATACCCAAGTGGCCAATGTGGGTAAGTAGAAGAAGGCTTCAGGCATTCTTGAGCAAATGCCTGGTGGTCTTCATCTTGGTTTATATTCAAGGTCTTTGATCAAGCGCTTGCACCGGCCTCGCCAAGCCGTCTCCTCCGACGATCGCTGGCCTGTGCCGCAGAGACTCAAAACAATGATGATGGCTCCGGAGGGACTTATCCATAGCCAGCAGAAGCGGTCTCGACAGTGGATTCAGAAAATGCTATGAAAACCAGGCAGCAATCAGCGACTGAAGGGCCTCCGTGTTCTGCGACGAGCACGCGCCACAGCTGCACTGGAAATGATATCCTTTGTTTCACTATGGGGGGACAAGGACCTCCTGGACTGGCGTGAGGAAAGAAACGCTTTCAAAGGCTTTCATCCTCCTCTTGCGCAGGCAGGGTATGCAAGATGGCACTTTGCTAATTCACATTTCGTTGACCTGTGAATTTCCACCGACCAAACCGTCACAGGAAGGATGTTTGCATGTAGTCGCGCAACAGCATGAGCAAGCCAATGTCCGCAAATGATAGGACTTCCCTGCTGCCACAGGTGCTCCGGTGGAAGATTTCCTTCCTCTCCTCCTGAGTCAAACCGGGAGGCCTGAACCTTCGCCTCTACCTCAAACCCTGGTGCAATGTTTGCATACAAACAACACTGTCCGCCGCCTGCCGAGTTCTTCCCTGCGCCTGAATCCTCTCCTGCAGCCTAGACTAATTTAAGGAGGCCACACATCCCTAACCTCGAACGTCTTTGTCAGTACGAAGTCTCGGCCAGGAGGTATGGCTCCACATAGGAAATCGAAAGCCTGTTGAACACTGGCTCTGGCAGTAGAAAACATCCGGCGCAAGTGCCAGGCTAAATGTCACTTGTTCCAGTTGCTGCTGTTCCAGACAGGGTCCAGCAGGGCTCACCTAACAACATGCTGCACAAGGCTCCTGGAATTTGGAGCTTGCTACGCTGGCATGGGGGTGCTTGTGCCAGGGTGACTTCTGTTGTTATTGTGATTATTACTGTTGTTACTCTTTGTATTGTTGTTATTGCTCTTATTGTCATAGTTATTATTGTTACGGACGAGCCGGCAGACCAAGAGCTAGCGGACTTCGAAAGCAGCCAAGGCACTCCTCACCCTTTTGAATGTCCTGTCACGCGCTTGGTATTCTCAACTTTGCGTGCCACGCTCTGACAAGCTTGTGCGAGTGAAAGACAATATTTCATGGTTGGAGCCATAGATCTGGAATTTACATTGCAAGCCTTGGGTCTTGCGCGTTCAGGGCCATCCAGGCGATCCGTGAACGCAGTGATAACTCCAGGGGTAACAAGACTTGAAGATGTGCTAACTCTCCAGCGTTGCCGAGGCTGTCTGCCGCCTAGGGTACAGCTACTTTTCAGCCTGCTACGAGTACAAGCCACAGTCAACGTGTCCTTGCACGCAAAGATCTTCTGCCGGTACATTTGCTCGTCCCAGAACTGCTCGCCTAAGCACAGGCTGCACTTGCTCGGTATATTCCATCCTATGTCCCGTAATCCAAAGATTGGCACAGGCTTTTCAGAAACAGGACTCGCAGCTTTGTCTGTGGAAGTGCTAGGGCAGACAGGTGGACGCTAAATTTCAAGTGAGATGCCTCTCTCAACCCTAACAACACTCGCTTTCGACCCACAAATTGGCACACCCATCAAGTGGAAACTGCAAACACCAATCATATTCACGACTAACAAGCTGCAGCCAGCCCTGTAAACCTAAATGCTTCAAGCCGTGCAGTTGTCTAAGTTGCCTTCAAGCAGCAGTTGGGCAAGCAGGAGTGGTTGATGCGGCTAACGGATACACAGAGAACGCCATCCTCCAAGGGTGTTGGGTCTCAGCACTTCTGTCTCAAGTCTCGTAAGATGTCATAGTGGCGGGCTTTCACTAGCGATTTATGTGCACTGCAACGCCGGTGCATGGGATTGGTGCACGCTGCTCGCTCTTGTTCTTGCAGTCGTGAGCTCTCTTATTTCTGAGGCATTCACTTTTCGAGCTCGGCTACTGGTATGAACTGCTGTTACACTCCTAATATGCCAATGGCCTCACTCCCTCCCAACAGCCACTCTGCTAGCAAAGCTGCGGCAAACAGAGCATCCAGACTCTGAGCACGATGACAGTTTTTGAGATGCTCAAATTCATGTCCATCATCACCCTTCCAGAATACACTCATTCAACTTTGAGCTTGGTTGCCCTCATAGCTTTGACACATACACATAACCCACATCCTAGGCCACAAACGCGTCAGGGATGCCAAAGTGGGGCTAGAGCAGCCGATGCCTTCACATCCATCCACAGGGGCGGGTTTTTGGGTGTGGAAATCAGAAAAGTTCAGCTATCAAATGTCCAGCTCAGTAGGGATTTTAGTCGCGACCGCGTGCCCCCATGCAGACCCGCACCCGCAAATGCCCACACAAAGCTCACGTCTTAACACAGGGGTCAGTGCTGCAAAAGCCTTGCAGGACACCACGACTCTATTAGCTACAAGAACATGATGCAGCCTTCAGCCGGCTTGTACTCCCGGAGCTTCCACATTCAACTTTCAACACCCAGGCACTGTTTGTGTCAAAGATGCCCTTGAGGGTCTTGCCACCCTCTGAGATGGCCTTGTCTGTGCAAGGCCATCCGAAGGGCTAAAGAGCAAGCAAGGCTCCATGGGTCACTGCCAAGGATACGAAGCTACGCGGGCTGCTTCTTCCCGGCAGCTTAAGACCTAGTTGATCCGCACTTGCGTGCACGATTCTAAACACAGCTGTGGCGCATCGAATAATTCGAACACGGCCGTTTGTGATGTGCTGGGCAGCTGATCCTTAGTGTCCCCGTAGACTCTCCACTCTCTTCCACCCCTTTGTGAAGTGCATGGGTATGCCTTTTGGCAGCAGAAGTCAGGGAGCTCCACCCCGCAATCAAGAGCCTCCGGAGGTGTGAGCCAGCCTGGGCTAGGTTGCCTTTACCAACCTTGCAGCCACCGAGACTTTCGAGGAAGCACATCCTCGATAGCCATCAAGCAACCGGTTTTGAGGGTATGCAGCCGCGAGGCTGCACAAAGCAACATCATATGCCGAAACCTTCGCTGTCAGGCCTATGTTTTGGCCGAGGCACATACTGCTGCTGCAGGGATGCAGGCCAGTCGCCGTCAGCTCGGTAGGTGATCGTCCTTAGTCACGCACTTCATCTCTCCCAATGCCAATGACACCACTCCAAGAAACGCCGAGTCTGCGAATAAGGTTTTGCTTTCACCAGCTGATTGTTGCACGGATACTTGTACTGGAGCATGGGGCCTGTTGACTCTCATCCTTCACGGGGGCTAAACGTACATTGGGGTGTGTGAATGTCTGAGCACGCGGCAGCTAAGACATCTTGAGTTGTGGATGCTGAGATTATCATGTCTCCGGCTGCATCAAATGCAAAAATCCTTTGAATCTCCCCTGCCAGGAACGGCTGTGGATTTTGACTTCTGGGGCGAGTTCCCGGTTGGCCCTCTCCTGTTCCGAAAGGTCCTTGTAGCTTCACCCCATCCAAAGCCGTATGCTGTCGTGTTCCTCACCAAAAAGCTTCCTGAAAATAGCCCAGGGGCGGTCTCTCCTCCAGCACCATCTCGCCCCTGTTGGAGCAAGCAGGTCTGACGTGGAGATTCTGAATATGTATCCTTTAGGATTTAGGGGCAGCGGCGTTGGCTTCACGAGGCACGCACACGTTTGTTCTGACAAGATAAGTCAACTATGTCAGCTACGTCCTTGGAGCCATGTCTGAGTGTCGCCCTCACGACTTCACAAACGCCACTGGTAGGCAGGTACATCTGGGATTGTCTGGGTAGTAGGATCCAGGGCCTTTTGAACTAAAGAACACGTTGACCCTAAGCCGCCAAAGCCTCGCATCGCAATCCCTAGCATCCGGAGGTCAACTGCAGCGTGACTTGCAAACGCAGCCATTTTCTGAAGGCTGGCCTTGCAATGTTCCGCGTAGCGATTGCTCCGAAACCCTTGCCAGGAATTTGCAGAATTTCCTGAAGATCAGACGTGTCGGGATGTAAGCGCTTGCTGAGAGGTTGCCGCAGCGTTACTGGTCTTCACTCAAAACTCCCGCTCTGAATCCTTCTAATGAGTCCAGATGTTGTCAGAAGCACAGAGCAGACCCCCCCATTCACGCAGCCAATTGTCCACTGGCGCCGCGGCTGGTCGTGAAACCCGGCCGCCAGAACCTCCGCATGGTGGACAGCCCCGGTCAAATCCTACTAGCTGGCCCTGCAGCTTTCAAGAAAGGAAGCACCACTGGCGTGGAAGCCAGGTAGGGCAGCATAGCTTGATCAACAAAAGCGTAGGGTACCTGCCAACCCACCTCATCCCTGATTAGTCCTCAGTAGTGTAGAGCCCACGTTACAACAGCTCAGGTTGCCACGGCTCTCCACAGGCCCTTCATACCAGCACATGGGTTTGCAGCCACCTTCCTTCCATAATGCTCGGTGGAAAGGTGGAGGAGGTGAATGCTTACAATACGTCCTGTTTTCAGCGCTTGCTAGCACTCCTCCCTGCCGCATACCAAGGAAGCTGCCATACACACGACTTGTTTACTCCAAACATCATCTACAAGTATAGAGTGCCGGTGTACTTCCTGTGCTATAGCTATACATGCCCTCCATAAGCCCATGAGTTCTGCTCGCGCACGCTGTGCTGTGCATCTCTGCGCCACGGCCACCCCGAAAGCTGCAGCACCGCAGGCCGAATTCTGGCACCAAGCATTGCTTGAAGTTGTAGGAATTACTTACTGGTTCTTTGTAGGGAATAAATAGGAAATATTAGCCCTATGTAATCCCCATTTTGTATATTCCTTATTCCTTACATTTCCCTACTAAGAAGTAATAAGATTGCATGGGTTCAACCAGGGAGTACAGGGTTGCAGTGACTCTGCAGCGCGGGCATGGAAGATGCACAAGGCTGTCAGAATTCTCCAGGGGCCAAGCTGCAGACACTGATTTTGTGGAGAAGTGTTATGAGGCATGTACTGGCCGTGATGTGTGAGCAGTACAGTTCGACTCTAAAATTGTAGTCGCGTGTCTTTGTCCTTAGTCTGCTTAAGCTTCGTCCCAAATCGTGTCTCAGAGGCCCCCCCCCTTCCGCCAACAGTCACCAGCATCTTATGGAAATGGCCCCGTCTGACTTAACTCAATCAGGAGGAATTCTGCCTTGAGAAGGCTGCGCTTCCCTCGCTGCGTTGGCGGAGAAGCCTTCCCAAGGAGGCTCAACAGAAAGATCTCAACTGTTGGCAGAATACACGAACTGGCTTGCAGAATTAGCTAATAGCCAACTAAAGTGTGCGAATCGGGAGATCTATGCGCTTTGGCCTTCTGATCGGTTCGAGAACTAAACAAACTTGCTTGGGATGTCTTCTGAAGGAGACGGAGACGAACACATCTGAGACCGCTTTCATTTTTTAGCTCTTTGTCTGCTACCAAGCACCTCCACTGCCACAGAAGCGGGGGTCAACGCAGGAGCTCGCCCTGGCAGCACCGCAAATGGAGCCCATTGCAGCTGCGACATGGCGAGTTCCAAGAAACGGTCGGTGGGCTTTCCTTGCCTGACTTTCACTGCCACAGCACAGACTGATTTTGGGGGTGCAGCGTTAAAGGTGTGTGGTCGATGTCTGGGATGCCACGTGGTTAGGTAGAGTATCCGACCTCATGGGTTCAGAAGCAGGATAAAACTTCAACCATTCGGATAAGGCTCAGCTCACCTTGAAAGGATAAGCTGCGAATGCCAAGCATGATTTGCTTCTGTCTCAAAAGAATCGCCACCTCGTCTGGCGTCGCAACGCTAGTTTTTACTCTAAGCTTCACGTGCATGAAGCTCTGCTGGCAGCGTGTCACGAAGCTTGGCCCACAACTACATCAATTTTCCATGTTATACCCATGAGGAAACCATTTTGAGATCCTAATGCAACGTTTGAATTGAAAGGACAACCCTAAGCCCTAAACCCACTGCTTTCCAGTACACGTGGCGGGGCCCGCCTTGTCCGAACCTGAGTTGCGCTTCGCAGTCATTGACAAACAACCAAAAGGGGACCAAAACCTTTACCGTTGGGGTATAATAGGGGATTATATACTATAGAGTTTTAGGTTTAGGGTTTAGGGTTTAAACTCCTTAATGGGGGGGCTATATAGGGGATTGTATAGGGACTACTATAGGGGTTTATTGAGGGGGACACTGAGAAGTTTTCTTTCATGGTCAGGAATTTACCTTCGGTAACATACAAAACCCGCGGTTTAGCTTACGGTGGCCCTTTTCGATGGAACGAGCCTACCGTACTTACAGTGCTACTGTAACGGCCATAAACATCGGAGCGAGATTGTGCGCGTCCCGTTGTTTTGGAGATCCCTGACTCGAGCTCGAGGATCTCAATACTTCGGGAGTACAAGGAGCACCCTGGCATTAACTGAACTTTTCTCGCTGGTCACACCTTCATCATGTAATCTCTTTGGGGGGCCAGGGTCCTGCTAGAGCATCCTGGCAACCAGCTCGTCCATCTCTGCGCGGGTCATGGAACCTGCAGAGAGTTCAAGTGGGAGCGTCTTGTGAAATCACGCCTGGGTTTGGGGATCCTCTTTTGCCTTATGATAAAGGCATGACCTTCTGGGCTGTACAAGCACCCCTCTGTTTTGAGCAATGCCAGGGTGGCAAATTCACGGTTGCCTTCTTGGAGGGTATGATGTGATGAGGAGAAGTCGACCTCTCAGCAAAGTCTGAGTGAAACTTCAGGATTTGCAGCGCTGTGCTTGTTGGTGGTAAACTGGGGGGGGGCAGGTGTAGAGATTGCCGGAAATGTTTGGCAACCTCTATGCGCCGGGATATCAGCAATCTCAGCAGCAGAGCCCTTCGGTTGCGGCTTGCCCAATATGATTGGGATGTACGCATCATGCGTACTCTCTGTTGTCATCAGTTCTGACATGTCTTTCTGTCAGAACGTTCAGGGGGCCACACATGAACACTGAAACGACCTTTCCCAAACGACTTCTATCACCAGAAATTATTCCAGTTGTTAACCTATTCCGAACTTGTGTGTGCTTAAGGCCTAGGCAGCTTCACTCTTCCGTTATGCAACTGCAAAGGGCCTACTGACTCCGTCGGCGAAGTTGGAGCTCGCAGTGGATTGGGCACCTGCGTCAGGAGAGCGCGCCCGAGCTCGTAGACTTGGCAAAATGCGTAACCTCATACATTTATATTGGGATAATGGAAAATAAAAAGGAAACTACTATAGTATATTGGGGTTATATTGGGGTTATGTTGGGGTAATGGAAAATAAAATGGAAACTACTATAGTATATTGGGGTTATACTGGGGTCATATTGGGGTAATGGAAAATAAAATGGAAACATGGCAATCTGAGTGAATGAAAGGTCATGTTACAGAGGTGACAATTCGTGCCTTTTCACCAAACAGGGAGGTGCACAAAGAAGTTCAAGGTGCAGAGGCACTTCTACGTGCCTTGTGCTTTCCCTTGAACTTAAGCCCAAACAAGTCGCACCTAAAGAAGCTTCAGGTCCACCTCAAAGGAAATATCATTACGATGACTGAGCACGACGACATTCACTCAAATATGCCTATAGCGAGCATGTTGCAAGTGGTTGCTGCAGGAATTGGAAGGACGGTTTAGCTGAAGTAAGAGCGTGCTTAGCACACTTCCTTTGGTTGTTTAGATTGGCAAGGCGCAAAGACTTCATTCGAGCTGTTTAGGATTGCATCCACAATCACGGAAAAATACAAACGCAAACACACACACACACACACACACACAAGTATGCATGTGACTTGAATGTACGTAGGTACGTACTTTTCTCCGTCTGTGTGGCTGCGTACATACACGCACGGCTGCATGGCTCTCAATTTATGCGGTTTCATAAAGCTACCCCATGAAACCCCGCTTGTAAACTCCTACATCTCATAGGAAGGTTCCCTTCAATCATGCTAACCTCCATAGTGGGATTCCTGCATGAGTCCGCCAATTTGAAAACGCAGGTTGCCTAGGAAGCCTTTGATTTGCATGAGGTGCCTTTCCAAGTTTTGACAACTGGCATGTCGTTGCAGCCCGAAGCCATTCCACAACTCTAGATCCCAACATATCCCAACGTAAGCAGCACTAGCTGTCCAAGCACCTCCTCGCAGCCCAGTTTACCATGCAGCGCGCGCAAAAGCCTGAGCTCCTGCGGGACAGGGCTCTGCGCGACTTGGATGCAGCAGCTACAGCGGCTGCGACAGTGGCAGCAGCAGCAGTAGTTAAAGTAGGAGAAGTAGTAGTAGCAGCAGTGGTCGCAGTCAGGCAACGTGTCAACCGTATGACCATATACTATAGGCAACTTCCGCGGTAGCACTGATTGTCATGTCAAGCATCGAAGCCACCGAAAAATCACAAGAAGAACCAGGATCCCCCAAAACAAAAGAAAGAACTCACAATACTTCACCACAACGGACCCTAGGCTTGAGACACCCTCACAAACCCCCCAACCGCTGCATCCTACACCCAACATGCACCAAACAAAATTGTCATCAACCCTCTTACGCCCCGGAACCAATTGCCAGGAACCTGGATGACAGGTGACGGTCATT